AATTCTTATTGAGAGCTTACTGCGTACCAGGCACTGTTGGAGGCTCTAGGGGATAAATCAGTGAGCAAAACAAGGGAGAATCCTTCCCTTTGTGGACTTTACATCCTCAAGCAAACTTCTGTCTCACTCTTTTACTATCCTCAGATCTCTCCTCCAGATATGTTTGTTGGTTAATAGGCACTTGGCTATTAAATTCTCAAAACACTGAGCATTTATTCTGTGCCAGGCACTGTTCTAAGCATTTTATATGCATTATCTCATTGGCATCTATACCAGTTCCCACACAGCCATGTGAAGGAGTCTCTGTTATTGTTCTCATTTTACAGACGAGAAGCAGGCACAGAGGTCTGGATGCTGGCCCATGGGCATACACACTGTAGGGGCTGTGTCCTGACTCCAGGGCCCATTCCCATCCTTGCTGCCCCAGCTGCCTCACTTATTCCTGGAATGGTCCTTAGACCTTATTTCAGTCTTTCCTCTCCAACAGAAATGCCACGTAGACTCTCTCCCATGAAATCCAGCAGAGGCCCACATACCTAGTAGACAACTTATGAATGCGTTTTCCTCGGGTGCATGTCTGCATGGTGCCCGCAGGGGTTTTCAGGCCTGATATCCACTCCCCTTACAGGCCATCCAGTGACCTCTGTTGTCTTCTGTTCCAGGACTGCTACACCTCGTCCCACTGCTCAGCTAGTGGGGAAGTACAGGCTTCCCATTCCTGCACCCTGCCCTGCTCTGGTTCCTCATGGCTCCACAGTGGAGGCAACAGGACCACTTCTGTGGCCCATGACATGTTTCCTTGTCGTCCCCTTCTGAGCCTTCTCACTGTGCCTCCCCTCACCATCACACTCTCTTTTGATCTTGCAAATCCAGGCCCTTGGAGAAATCAGACAGTATGAAATATGAACACTGCCTGGGAAGTAATTGAAGAAACACTGTGACTTTTGAAACCCATAAAGATAACACTCACACCTTCTTACTCACGTTATTTAATTTTTAATGGCAGATTTAATTAATGGAGATCAGGTCTTCTGGTTTCAGATGTGCATATGGAGCAGCTGGAGGAGGAGGGGCAGCTGTTTATAGGGTGGAGGAAAAGACTCCAAAATCAGGAATCTGAAGAATCTAATGGGGAGGAAAAATCACCCAGAGATAATAGTTCACGATCACTGGGTACCAGTTGACATGTGGGGATTCAGTACAGTGCATTTGGAGCGATCTCCCTGCAACATATATAAGTGGGTGACAGGGCTCCTTACAGGCACAGCACCTGAGTCTCCCCAATCCCTGTGGGACTGTGCTGCAGGTGTCTCCAGGTGGTCTGCTGGTACTGCACTCCATTGTCCACACAGCTGCCAGAATGTTCTCTGAAACACACGTCTCCCCTGCCACTCCCTCATGTAAAAAAGTAAAATCCAGGGGCTGAGGTCCAGGCTTCCACATGCCCAGCTCCCGAGCTGTCTTTGTCTCTAGCCCCTTCCCTTGCTTCTGGTACAACTATAGCATCTAACAGGTGGGTCCCTCCCTCTCTCTCTCATTATTGGATCATTTATGCTCATCATGTAAGACTAAGTTTATTAAAAGTGGTTATACCCTTTGACCCAGGAGATTGACTACTAGCATGTACCCTTCAGATATGCTCACGTGCACAAAGGTGAGGATGCCATGATTTGCATCTCAGCATTGCTTGTGATCGTGGAACCTACTATGGAATACTCTTCAGTGGGTATAATGGATGAAGTGTCTGAGAAGTGAAGAAATGAGGAGTGGTGTTGTGTCCAACATGGTGCTGTGGGTGTGTGGGGTGAACTTGCTCACAGGGCACAGTGCAGGAGGGGAGCACTGGGGTCCATGTTGGCCAGTGGTCTCTGTATTCCTATCCTCTGCCCTTTGTGCGTTTGCCCTTTTAAACCATGAGTAAGTATTATTTTTTCAAAAACATCATTTAATATATATATAAAAATTAGGCCTTGGTTCAGGTGCCAGCTCCCAAGAAACCAGTCTGATGGTCTCTGCCAGACTTTCCTCTCTGGTGCTCCCACAGCACATGGGACAGTTAGCTGAACATCCCATTGTTATTGTGACGTTGTGTTGTCTGGAAGCCCCGTAAGGCGGGGGCCGGCAAGCTTGTCTTAGAATCTGTTGGCACTCAGCGGGTTCTGTATGAGCATGGGTGGCCCGCAAGGATGATATGGTCTGGAGATCTGCAGAATATCCTGCTTCTCCTGGCAGAGGGTCTGAGTATATTCCAGCAGCCTCAGGAAGGCCTGCTGGACCCAAGGAGTGCACTCAGCTTTCCCCAGGCACAGACCAGGACCTCCGTATGCCACAGAAGCCACACAGGGGCACCACAGAGGGGCGCTCTATGGTGCGTGGTCCCAGGGTCTGCTCAGGCAAGTGACATGGATGACTTGGCCGGGAGAGTGGGTGCGACAGGAAGGGGAATTCCTCTGAGTCATTCTGCAATGGGGTAATCACAACCACTTCTTGGTCTGTGGCCATTTCCTGTGACAAATCTCACCAACCACATGTTCAGCCTGAGTCCATAGGTAACTTAGCTGCTTGCTGAGCTTGCCCTGGCCAGACTATGTGTGTGGAGATGTGGAGGCAGCACAGAGGCATGAGGGGTCCCAGCACCCCACCTTGGAAAGGAATACTCACAGGCCACAGGCCTAGAAGACAGTGACCTGACATGTCTCCAAAGAGGAGAAGGCCTGAGCCAAGAGACTGTCTTGTGGCAGAAACTGACTGGGGTGGCTGAGGGAGCTTAGTAAGGCCTGTGCCAGCTTCAGAAAGTCCAGTGGTGTCATGACCGTGGCTGCAGTGGACAGGATACTGTGAGCCTGGCACACTCAACTCCTTCTCTCAGTCACCCTACGAGGGAGTGGGAGCCCTGTCTTTCCATGAGGAAATAAGCTCCAGGAAGTAAGTGTGTCACCCAAAGAACACAGACCACAGATGCCCAGGGAAAATGAAAATGTGGGCCATGCAGTCTTGTGTGAGGGCCCATGGATGGAAGGGTCAACTGAGTGTAAATGATCCCCATCAGGGATGTCACAGAAGAGCATCTGCATGGAGTGGGAGAAGCCCTGAGCCAATCCATGTCTGTGTCCTAGCTCCCACACCCAGGACGGTCAATGTTGGTCAAATGTCAGACTGGTTGAGGCAACATCATGATCTTCTTGGCTGGAACATCAGGGCTCTAGAGAGAAAACATGGGGCAGCTTGGAGTCAGCACAGACCTGTAGGAGCCAGAGCAGTTCTGGCTTTGGGGGCCAGGGGGAGGAGAACCCAATTTATTTTGAGCCTGTTGTGTGCTGAGAGTGTTCGCATTTCCTATCTACTGTGCCTGATGGCCATCAGAGAGAGGCATGGGTTATCTCCCCGGTTCAGATGTGAGGAACTGCCAGGCTCACTCAGCAGTTGGGGGGCGAGGAAGGCCCAGCACTGGGCTCTCCCCAGCACTGCCCAGAGAGATATTCAGTCACCCAGGCTCCTGCTGGGATGGGCCCCAGGTGTTCCTTCAGGTACACATCCTTCCGTGGTCCCTCCCACTTGGCTCTTCCCTGAGGCAGGCACTAGGCACTAGGATGGGAGTAAGGGCTAGATTCCCACTCACACTCTGCCTTTGATACCCTGCAGGTCCATAGGGGAGGTACTTCCTGTGCCTGTCTTGGTTACCTTCTTTGCAGATGGATGGTGGGGTGCCATGGGGGTAGGGTGCTTCCCCCACTTGGCTCTGATCTGGATACCTACCACCTTTTCCAGTCTAAGGATTAAATTGTTGCTTTGGGGCCAGGCTATCTCTGTGCATGGTGAAGTGGGGAGAGCCAGGTTTGGAGTCTGACAGGCATGTACAGGGGCACAGCTCTGTGACTTTAGGGTCCCTTTACCTGCCTCTCGAACTTCCTACAGCTTCCATTTACCCACTTGTACAAGAGGGGAAGCCACCTCTCCCACACAGGATCTGTGAGGGGTCTAGCCCAGGTCTGCAAAAGTAGGCAGGCTTCACATGGCACCTACGCTATCTTATCACCCTCACTGGGAAAGTCTGACTCTCAGTCTTGGGCTGTCCTCTGGGGTTTCATTCTTCACAGAGTGCCTCAAGGAGCCCCACCAGGAGTATGCTGGCAGGTCGGGTGATCAGGTGTGTTTATATTGGTCTCTTCTGGAAACAGGTGCAGAGTGGTAGGTTCTGGGCCCCTGAGGGCCCTCTATAGAGGATAGTAACTTACCAGAGTCACCATGTCATGGCTGCAGGGCTCAGCTCAGCTTTTTCTTTCTACAAGCCCGGGCCATCCTCTACGCCAGTCTGGTTCTGTATGTGCACACCTACTGGGTAAGCTCAGAAAGGATGGAGGTGCATGCCTTTGGAACCACCATGCAGCTCTGGACAGGCAGCCACTGTGCAGTGAGCATGGTGATCATGGCCAGCCGCAAAGTACACACCCAGCTGGGAATCAGACACCTGGGCTCTGGTCTTGACACAGCTGCTTGCTGCGAGGCTTTGTGCAAGCTGCTTCACCCTCTGGGAAGCAGAGTCCACCTATAAAATAGGGGTTGGATCAGATCAAGTCTCAGTATATTTTTCTTTGAAGATACTAAATATATCAGTCTTTGTTTAACAAACTGTGCATCTCTGCTATTGTAGCATAGAAGCAGTCGTTGACAATGCATAAACAGATCATGAGTGTGGCTGTGTTACACTAAAATAAAACTTCGTTTACAAAATCAGGTGGCAGGCCAGGTTTTGCTTATAAGTGATAGGTTGCTGACCCCTGTACCAGAGGACCCACATGTCCTTCCAGCCTTCGCTACTCTAGGATTCTGTAGCCACTGTTGGCCCCCACGGTGGGTGGGAGCTAGACCCAGGCTGGGATCAATCACTGATCTGCTTTGATGCTGGTCAAGAAATTAGCATCTGTCGATTTTTAGCGTGGTTGAGGGAGCCAGAGGGAAATTTCAGTCTTTGGTAACCAGTTCTGTTTTTCTCTTTGTAGAATGCCGAGATGTATAAACTGTCTTCACAGCAATTCCATGAGGCAGCTTCGAAAATGGAGGGTACAATAAAGTAAGAATTTATGATTTTTTGTAAACTTAGCCTGTATTTGTAAGAATCACCACACATGGCTTGAAACCTGCCACCACCTGCCTGATTTCAAATGTCTTTAATAACATAGACAACCATCTGCTCCTGGGTCTCTCCCTGGATATGAGGCAGCCATTGGTCATCTGTATTGGGCCAAATGAGCACTCAGCTCTTCCCTGGCTCCGTGGTGGGAGTGGGCCTGTAGCAGACTTATTTCAGGCACGATGTACTGTGGGCTGGGCCACGGATTGGCCATCAGGCTCCCGAGGGAGTCACAAAAGGGGGTGCTGCTGCCCTGCTGCCCCCACCCCCAAATTGTGGAGGTGGTTTTCAGAGTGACCTGTTGCCTGAGGGCACCTCCATATGTCTGGTCCTGAGCCGTGTACCTCTTGCATGCTGACATGCTCCTGGTGGCTCCCATTTTACTCCCAGGAGGACTGGGACTCATGGACACTGACAGTTGGCTTAGGTCACATGGTGCTGAGTGCCAGTGTCCAGTCCCCTGTCATGCTCCTGTGCTTTGAGGAGGCCTCAGAGCCAGAACATTAAGGAATGGCCGGTGCATACAGTGTGTACATTACAGTTGCACCCTACTTCATGGAGAGGCCACAAGAGGGACTGCAGTGGGGCCCATGGAAGGGAGAGCTGAGCCTTGTGCTCTGGGTCCTTTGTGTGATGGTGGTCTCTGCAGACTGGACCAGTTCCCTTCCTCAAGGGCCTCTCCCTCCCAGGCATAAATCAGGGTGATTCCCCAGGCAAACCTGTCACAGTGCAGAACGGTGAGGGGTGGTATTTGGCACCTCAAGAACAAATCATCAGAGGGAGGTTTGGGTGACTAGGAGGTAACAAAGTGCTTGTAAAGACAGTTGCTCTGAAAATCATGCGAGGAGACAGGGAGGGCAGCAGGACAGATGGACTCAGTACAGATCTGGGGTACAGCATGGGGCCTCTGAAGCTAGGAGACCATACTGCTAGAATAGACTACAGAGCAGCTATGGGGAAGAGCAAACAGTTATCTTGGGATTTCAAGTCTAGAGCAGTAACTCCAAGGATACTTAGAGAAAGAACTTTCCAACAGGCAGGTACAGACTGTAAAGGTCTTGCATCTGCCGATTGGGATCCCACAGGGGGTTCTGAGTGTGAGCAAGTCCTGCGAGCTGCACAGACCCCGAGGTCTATTCCAGCTTCCCTCACAGACAAGGGCCTAGCTGGCTCGTCCAGGGCTGAGAAATACCCAGAATCAGCTCAGTGAGAGGGAGAGGTTGAGAAGCATACCCCAGACATTATGGGGTGATAGCCACCTCAGTAATGTGATCCCTGGAAGTAGACAAAACTGCAGTGAAGCCCCTTGCCTGGGCGTATCCCCTGTATCTCTCTGTGGGGTAGTGATGCTGGATCTGTTGCCCCTCTCCCTCTTTACCTGGATCATGGAACAGCCCACTGTGGGGAAGAAGCTCTGGGGAGAAGCCAGGCAGCTTTACTGTCATTGACCACGCTATGTTGCCACCTGACAGGTCGGCCACCATCCTTAGAGTAGGGACTGCTGACCTCCAGCCCCCTAGATTAGTGAATTTGACTTTGCTGTCACATCATTTCTCATCCTCATGTCTTCTAAAGACAAAGGGGAGATGGCATGTATGTGCTCTGCAAGGCCCTTCAGCTTTATGCTCTCATTTTCCATCACTGGCATTTCACAGATGAAGACCTGAGGCTGGAGAACTGCGCTGCCCCTTACCTGGCCCATGATTACACCCCAGGCTGGGGTCAAGCTCCGCTTAGATTGCTTCAGAGCCCCTGTTCTTCTCTATTTGTCTTTGCATGTTTGCTGTCCCTCTGGGGCCCCCTCTGAATGTGAGATGGGCATCAGGATGGCCCTGGGAGCCTGCCTGGGCTCTGGAGTCAGGCAGACCTGGAATCGAACCTTGCCCTGCCTCTTATTGGCCAGTCCTGTGACCTTGGGCAAGTCACTTCACCACTCTGATTTCCTCATGTGCAAAACAACTGATATTCCTCTAATGCTTTGAGTGAGATAACACATAGAAAGTAGACCTCAGATGTCAACAGTTGGTGGTGGTGTGACCGTTATTAATAATGGCAGTCATTTGAATCACTCTCACAGCACCCAGCTTAGTGTGGTGTGGCACAGATTGAATAGATTTTACTAAAAAAACAAAAACAAAAGAACATTGCCTTTGCCCAAACAGAGTAAACAGGAAGCACTGCAGAGTTAGAAATTATTTTACTTAACCGTCAGGGATAGAGGGCGGAATCCTTGATTGGGAGATTTCTTGGATTAGCAAATGATTATAAATTGCATCGTAAATGCCACAGAAATAAATGCCAACTGCTGATAGCCGTAATAGCTCCCTTCCAAGACAGTGAGCATCTTTTAACAACTTAGAGTAAACTGAATGGTTATTTAGGTGGCTAACTAGATGTCCATGCATTCATTTATTCACTTACATACATGTATAGAGTGTCTACTGTTTGTCAGGCACCATGCTAGGCACTGGTGATAGGATGACATACAAGACAGCTCCGGTTCCCATCAGCAAGAAGCTTGTCATTTGGAGAATGACAAACAATATTTTTAAATTAATTACATAAAAAGCAATTGCCCAAACAATGATTGATTACAGTAATGAGCCATGAAAGAGAGTGTTGAATTGAAAAGGACATGTCTGAGGACCCGAACTCAGATGTTTGGGAAAGCTTTTCTAAGGAAGTGACATTTAAATGGACTCCTGCAGGATGAGGATGCTTTGGCCAGAGGAAGGAAGGGGAAAGAGCGCTTCAAAGAGAAGCTTCCACTGTGCAAAGGCGGGGGTGGGGGGGGGTGGAGGGGGGATAGGAAGTGATTTAGCATATTCAAGGAATTGAAAGGCCTGTGTGACTAGAAAAGAATGAATGAGAAGAGAGAGACTAGGATGAAGCTCTAAGAAGTCAGCAGAAGCCAGTCCACACAGGACTTTGTAACCATGATAAGAGATTTCACTCATATCCTACCATTTCAGCTTTCTTTCTTTCCTAATATATGCATTTAAGGTATTGACTTCTCTATAAACACAGCCCTAGCTATACCCTAAAGTTTTGATACATCATGTTTTCATTATAGTTCAGTTCAAAATTTTTCTGATTTTTATTGCGATTTTTTTTCTTCAACTCGAGTTATTTCAAGACATATTGCTTAATTGCCAGACATTTGGTAATTATTCCAGTTACTTCTTTTTTAAAAGTAACTTTTATTTATTAAGTAATCTCTACCCCCAACTGGGGCTTGAACTCTTGACCCTAAGGTCAAGAATCGCATGCTCTGCACCAGTTCACATTCCCACCAACAGTGCAAGAGGAGAAAAAATGAGTGGGAAATATCAGAAAAGGAGACAGAACATGAGAGACTCCTAACTCTGGGAACAAAGGGTGGTGGAAAGGGAGGTGGGCGGGGGGTGGGGGTGACTGGGTGATGGGCACTGAGGGGGGCACTTGATGGGATGAGCACTGGGTGTTATTTTGTATGTTGGTAAATTGAACTCAAAAAAAAAAAAAAACCTTACCAAAAAAATAAAGTTTATAGATTAAAAAAAAAAAAAGAATCCCATGCTCTACTGACTGAGCCAGGCTGGCTCCCCTCTAGTTACTTTTTGAATAATTGATTTTCAGTTTAACTCTGGTTGAAGAGCGTACTGTAAATCCTCTAAAATTTTGAGACCTTGCTTATGACTGTGCACATGGTCTGTTTGGTAAGCCTTCTGTGTATATTTGAAAAGAGTGGTGTCTGCCAGTGATGTCGTATTCTGTATCTGTCAGTCAGGTTCAGTTGGTCAGTCCTATTCAGATGATGTATATTGTTACTGACGTGGATTTATGGTTTCTTCCTAAGATCACTTCTAACAGAACTTCCATAGTAGTTCTTTTAGTGTAGTTTTGCTAATTATAAAGTCTCTATTTTTAATTGTCTGGAAATCCATTTCACCTTCAGTTTTGAAGAATATAGCAATCCTCTCTTTGAGCTCCTTGAAAGTATCTTCACATTCTGATTTGATATCTGCTTTTCCCTGGAGAAGTCAGCTCTTGATATTGTTATTACTCATTTTTGGTAATTACTTTTTTTTCTCTGTCTGATGTTTGCTTTTCTTTGTCTTTGGCTTTTTTTAGCAGTCTGTCATGTGGCTAGGAGTCCATTTTTTTTCCTGCTTGGGGTTCACATGTTTGGGGTTTGATGTCCTTTTGTTTTAGAAATTTCCCAGCTATTATCTCTTCAAATAAAACTCTCTGCCCTGTTTTGTCTTTCCTCCTTTCTGGCATTTCAGTTACATATATTACTGTGTTTCACTTGTCTCTGTGCCCTTTTTTCCTGTTTCTCATCACTTTTAATCATGCTGTGGCCTATGATTTTTTTTATTGACCATTCACTTCACTAACCCTTTTAATGTGTCAAATCTCTCTTAAACCTATTTCTTTATTCAATTGTTGCATTTTTGTCAATCCAGAAGTTCCATTGTTTTGTTTGTTTGATTCTCAGTCTCTGGTGAGGTTCTGGGTTTTGCCATCTGTTTTCTTGAACCTCTTAGTTACAGTTATTTTGAAGTCATCTGAGGGTCTGTTTCTGTTGCCTTTTTTTTTTCCCCTCTTGGTCCTGTTTCTTTGTGTGCCTCTTAATTCTTGATTGAATGCCAGGCATTTTACAGAGATTATACAGAGGTTCTGGGTGTATCTTCTCCCCCAGAGTGCTGGCCACCTGAGGGACTGAGCTGACTGGAGGCTTGCTGCAGGTTTGATAAAGTTCAGGCTACTTCTGGTTTACCCTTCTTTCTAGGACATGGCTTTCCAGGGCACTTCCTTTCTTGGTGAGCTCAGAACCCCTCTATGTTTGTTTCCTCAGCTCTGTACGACTTCTGGAGATTCCACTTGGCTTTTACTTGGCTCCTTAGCCTCTTGCCTTGAATAGCTCAAGAATGTGACAAATGCCCTAAAAGAGGAAA